TCCAAGAGGCCAGTCACAGGTGCCAGCCAGGTTGAAGACTGCTGTGTTAGAGACCTATAAATAACAAGGCTATATCTGTGTATTTCTGGCTTCACTTATCACAATAGATGTCCTATTGGTGAGTTTATTTCCTCAAACCAGAGAAGGTTGAAGAATCATGGTGAAAATGGAGGAACTTTCAACAGAGACCATGGCACATTTTTTTTCTGCTTTTATTCCTAAGGAATTGTCCTTTCTATGTCAGAAAAAAAAAACAGCCTCTTTGGTAAAAGCTAACTAAGTATGAGAATTCCATAAAATGTAAGTCTCTACCTACAATCTGGAAGGCATTTTTAAAGCTTAATATTACCTCTAAGAAACTGTTTTAAAAAATAATGTCTTTAATAAAACTAGTGCATATCAAACCCCAAACCTTGTGCATGATAGGCAAGTCCTGTATCACTGAGCTCTATCCCCAACCATATCTGTGTTTCTAAGAAAAACAAATACTACAAACTACAAAGGCAAAAGCATCTGAATGTGGTTGAATTATCATCTCTTTTTGGAAGCATGTAAATTCTGGGCAGGGGTCAGGAAGGGCATGTTCAGGAATAGTGTGAGTACTATTTTCACTTTCTTATAGTGGGAAAAGAGCAGATTTGGGCAGATACTAAATGTATAAAGTAAAAGAACTAGATTTCAAGAACATTTAACTCAGAAGAGAGAGAAAAAGGTAAGAGATATAGCAACGGTCGAATTAACTAATGCTATTCACATCAAAGTTCATAGAGCAAATTGACCTCCATAAACCTGAGTTTAGAAAATCTTTACAATCATAGTACATGCCAAAAAATAAGAAAATCATAAGGATCTGATTCTACTAAAAAAACTCAACACAGCATTAAAAGGTTTCTTTCTTTTCTTTCTTCATTTGTCTGTGTTTAACCTAAAACCATGAAATGCTCTTGTTCAATATCAAAATTAACAGGCATCTTTTCTTTTGTATTTTTTAAATATATATTTCTATCTTTAAAACTAGAGCTCTCTGGCTTTCGGCTAACAGCAAGTTCACATCTATAGACATTGCAGGAAAATGTCAATTTGCTCTAGAAGCAATTATATATACAGTGCAGGAGTTGCCAATTTTTATTATCCAGGGATCACACATACTGTGTTTGCCCCATCATTTAATATCAAAACATGACTTTCCCCCCTAAAACACACTTGAAATAAAGAACCTAGCTAATGAACACCCACATCCAATTCAGTGATGTCTGTTACAGCTTACAGAACTTGGTATTACAGACATCACTGGTTTACTAGAAAGGGACATTATGTTGACTAGATAATACATTATTATTTCTGTAACTTTATGTGTGCTCTGAGTTAAATGAATGCAATTTTTATCCCACTTAATGCAAAAACAAGTATATTTTTAGTGTATGCCAATTAGATTTCACATCTCCAAAGTAAGAGCAAGAAGGGCTTGCAGATCCTTTATTACTAGAGGACTTCAGTTGTTACATTGAACCTTAAGATCATTGTCAAAGCTTCAGAGATAGCAATCCACAGCACGCACTATCAGCCCTGTTTCATTCTGCAGCATTATGATGTTGGTGTGCTGACTTTTATTCATGTGTTTAGCATGTGCACACTGTCTGTACTCTGTGACAAACACAGGTATTAGGAATACAGAACTAAATGAGACACCGCCCTTAGGTAAATATATTCTTGGAGCGGAAAAGGAAGGACAGGAAGTTGCATGCTTGGTTTTTTTATGGCATATACTCAGCAAGTAAAGGAAGGAAGAAAGAGGAGGAGAAGGGAGCAAAAATAGTAAAAAGAAACAGGATGAAAAATAATTCAGCATATGGTAGAGAAAAATGGTTAGGAATGGTGAAACTTGAGGACATCTTTGAATCAACAAGGCTAGTTTGTTGGTTAGATCAGAGGATTGGGGCCTCCAGGAATAGAGAGGTGCATGCAAAAGCCATGACAGTGGGAGAGATCAGAGAACTAAAAAGCATAGCTTTTCCTAGAGGATATCTGTGTATGAGGCATAAGACTGGAAAAGGGAGAGACATGCCAGGAGGGCTCTGCACACAATGAAAAGAATTTGAACTTCAAATTTCAGGGCATGTTTTTACACACTCCCCAAATGCTCTAAGACAAAATAATTTTAAAAGTATAAAACTAGCATAGAGATGAACTAATGAGATAGAATAGGAAAAAAGAGAAGCAATAGAAAAATCTAGATGATGGGCATGCACACATGTAATATATGAAAAAGGTACCATTTCCAATTAGTGTGTGAAGGGTGAGTTTTCCAAGAGGTGTCTGAAAACTGAGTAACAATCTCAAAATTAAATTTAATTCCTATATAATACACTATTAATTTTTGAAAATTCCTAGATGAGTTAAACATTTGCATGTAAAAATACCAGAAGAAAATCTTCAACATTTTGGTATTAGGGGATGTTTTATTTTGTTTTGTTTTTAACATTGTTAGAAAGCTCAACGGAAATATTGTTAGGTTCACAACATTCTAATCTTCAAAAATCACTAACTTCTGAAAAAACAATAAGTAACTGTAAGCAATCAACAGGTTAAGAAAAAATATTACAATCTATGTAGCATTCAAATAACTTGAATCCATAATTTATACCATTCTACTACAAGTCAATTTTTTAAAAACTCTAACAGAGAAATGAGTAAAGGATATGAACACGAAACTCATGAAAGAAATTATACCTAATGACCTAAAAGTATGCTTAATGCCAGTAACAATCAAAGAAATACAGTTAAGATACTTAGATTTTTCATAACAGATGTCAACAGGAGATACATGGTACTAACAACTATCTCAAATAACTGATCATATTCTGTGGTTGAGAAGGTATGGCGAAATGGGAACTCTCAAATACTAAGGTTATAAACTCAGTACATACTCTTTGAAAAGTATTGTGGCAGCATCAATAATACCACTTTATTCTATAAGTAAATGGCTAGTGATTAGTTTCATACATACAATATATAAATATTAAATGTTTTAAAATATGAGTATGTATTAAATATATAAATCTATATCCACAATTGTGCAAAGACTATATAAGAATATTTATCACATTGTTGTTTATAACAGTAAAAATCTGAAAACATTAAGATTTACCAAAGGAATTAATAAATTGCAGCATATCAATGAAACATGGTGTTCTTAAGGATATACTGGCATGGAAAGATATTCATGAAATAAATGATTAGTAAAATAGTATCTATAGTAAAATATGACAAGAGAGGAAATGAGCTACGGAGGGTCAAGTTGACATGGATTGGAGGCCTAGCTCCTCTACTTTTATATATTTATATATGAGATTTACTAACTTCTCTAAAGTTTTTTTTCAGTCTATGCAATTGGAGTGGAACCTACCTCATACAGTTGTAAGAAGAATCTCAAGTGTACAATACAGTCTAAATATACATATCAGTATTTTCAGATTTTTCAATAGCTATTTTTAACTATTATGAAGATAAATTTTGAATGCAAACATATTACATATAATATTATAAAATATATTTTAGAAAATTGTACTTCACAGAGTCATGAATGTACATGTCAAAGGCAATTTTAGCTTACATAAACAAAATATTCTATTTACCTGATCAGCTACAACCCCTGGACCATGCACGCGTATAGGTCCATGATCTGTTAGGAACTGAGCTGCACAGCAAGAGGCAAGCAGTAGAAAAACCAGTGAAGCTTCATCTGTATTTACAGTCTTTCCTCCTCATTCACAGTATTGCCTTAGTTTCACTGGGACAGCAGTGGCATTAGATTCTCACAGGAGCATGAACCCTTTTGTGTGAACTGTGCATGAGAAGGATTTAATTTGCAAGATCTTTATGAAAACATAATACCTGATTATCAGAAGTGGAGCTACAGCTGTGATGCAAGCAATTGGGAGAGGCTGCAAATACAGATCAATGATCTCCGAAGACACACAAAAACTCTAACAATATAACTGCTTGTAAATTCATATTAAAACCCTATCAGGGAATGGCAAGTTACAATTAAGCAGGAGCTGGTGGCAAGCTTTATAGTAGCAAATGAGGTGATGTACTTCAATTGTGTAGCTGAATGTGGTGCAGCGTTATGTCAGAATCTCACACACTTCAATCTATGCAGGGTCCAGTGATTATTGGATTTACTACCTCTGTCAATGTCTTATTGCCACACTGCACGCCTGTCTCAATCATAGTTCTGGTAAGCCTGAAAGCTAACTCTAAAATGAATAAAAACCAAACATAATCAGAGAGCTTCTTTGTAAAGGGGAAAGACCCAGTGATGATACAGCAGAAGAAACCAAACAAAAAGAAAGCTACATTTAAAAGAAGACATCAACAGTCTTCCACATTATGGTAAGCTGTATAATTACTTCACTATATATTGCAACATAATAATAACAGAAACAAACTACACAATAAATGTCATCTGCTGGAATCATTCTGACACCTTCTCCCCTTTCCCACCAAGCCTAGCCCATGAAAAAAGTGTCTTCCACAAAAGCAGTCTAGTGCCAAAATAGCTGGGGACTATTGATCTAAAAGATACAGTAATGGATTTGATGCATAAGTTTTTGACACAGATATGTTTTGACTGTATATTCATAAACCACTGTGCAAACAAGGAATGCATTTGAGGATTATATTTAACTACAAAATAAAGAACTGTCAAGTTTAGGGGGCCTCAGCTATGAGAACTTTTTAAGACTTTAATGACATAAATTAGAAACTGTCTTCTGATCATTAAGTTATTAATAACTTTTGTGGTAGTTTCTATTACATATGCATTCAATTTTTAATCATTTCAGGAAAAACATAAAGTAGGAAGGTCCATTTTTAGGTGTGTTTTCTCAATAAATCTAGAAAAATAAACCATTGAAAAATGAGAAAATATGTTTTTACAGAAATACATTAAAATACCTCTATCAACATACTGTCCCTAGATGAAAAACAATACATACCCCTCTGTTCGGAAAATCATTCGAAAGCTATCTCCTAAGCTTTTATAACTGTTTGGATCAGTTGCACTTCTCTGAATCTGGAACCTAGAAACAAAAAACAAACAAACAAAAAATCTATGTTAAGAATTTTTCTCATTTTTCAGTCTTAAAAACTCAGCAGTTTTTCAGATTCATCTAAAATATTTTGATTTTTGCTAATACACTTTATTGATTTGATTGCCTTACATCATCTTTGCCTTATTTCTATAGAATTTGATAGAAATTTTGTGCTTTAATAGAAACTATAGAAAAAAACTTTTTTCAGCTGCTAAACAGATACACCCTGAAGCATTTTTGTGAAAGCACACACAGATGTCATACATTAACAAATTTCAAAATCTGAAGATATATATGAAACTAGTATGTAGCTTAAGTATTGTCTTAATTAGTGTTTCTTGATGATGATTTAATAGCAAGGTAAAAGATATTGAGCAATTAATATGGCCTATTTTGGATCCTGCTTGTGAATCTGGAATTCATTCTGGCAGGTAAGTGCTTGCGAATGGGGTGAGAGTGGGATTTTATTTTGGGGTCATATTACTATGCAGTTTACTACATTGCTCAATTAACATGACCCTTCTCCTCCTCCTCATCTTTTTGAGTATGAATAATTATCTTTAAGCTCTCAATTTCCCAATGTTTCCAGGAACAGGTCTTAGCTGTTTATTTCAAATTTTCTCTAAGGTTTGTTTCAGAAGAAACTGCTAAGTGCTCTCATTTCTCCCTAACCCCAGTTCTCCATTGTCCAGGTTCTTTAGTTTGCCCACTCTTTTGTGTTTTACATTCTTATTTCAGTTCTGATTTAAGGCCCTTCTTCCACCTCTCCTTCCCGCCACAATTTCACCATTTTTAAAAAAAATTTCAATGTTACCTCCAATATCACTTATTTTAAGGTGTCTTTTCCATATTGTTGGCTTCATAATATGAACACAACATCTACTTATAAGGATAATGTACTTTATTTGTTTTAGGCCTCAGGGAATTATGCTGAAGACTGTTATACACCATAGAGAAGAGCAGGTATATTTCTTCGATTGAAACCATTGGGAAAATTAATGGAATGAATTTATCAAAGATAAGTAAAACTGGAAATACATATTTTTTTACAAAGTGGAGAGTTGCTAAAAGTTTCTGATCAGGAGAATATCATTTAGGGATGTGGGAGTTTGTGCATAGCTCTGGCACATACAAATCCCGGAGTAAATATTAACTGATTAAATAGATTAGGAGTATGGAGTGGAGAACAATTAGGAGAACAGTCTGGGGGAGAGAGAATTAGTCCAGAATACAAATGGAAACAACCTAAATGAAGAAAAGAGGCCATGTTAGGTAGACGTTTTTCCTGTTAAGTAAAAATTTTTGATGATATATTCATGTTCTTTTGCTCTTTCACATAGCATATTTTTTTGATCTTGCACACAGCAAGTAATTTTCCACAACCCTATACCTAGTACTGCCAAACTTTAAAGTCTCATCAATACTCATTTTTAGAGTATGGGATTTTTTGTCAAAGTTCCTCCTATGTAGACATAATCAGTTTACACTAACTATACTCTTAAATTTAAATTGCACAGTTTATAAGAAGGTCATGCTTCAGCAGTTAACTCATTTAAGTTGCTTGGGATCCAAAGATGGTTTGGTGAACAGGGCTGGGGATACAGCTCAGTGGCACAGCACTTGCCTGGCAAGCACGAGGTTGTGAGTTTGATTCCAGATATCAAAACAAAGCAAAACAAAAAAGACAGTGATATGATTTACATACACAGTAACACTGAAAGAAGACTCAGTAGAGGTTCTGTCGAGCCTAAGAACAAGGGCTGATGGTCAGACAGTTGTTCTATATTTGGATATTTCTGGCCTATAGTATATAGATGAGAGGAGTTGGCACTTCAAAGACACATGAACTAATACTAAACAGAAGATAACACAATGGGAGAACGATTTTGAGATTTGTGAACAAATAACTGGAACACAAAGAACAATTTTCAAAATATTGAATTTTATTTTACTTCAAATGCGGCAACTCCATCTCTTCAGCTGCATATTCATAACCTATATTCATTGTGAATGCAAGATGTTTTCTTAAGTCGAGCTGGAAAACCCAAGACTCTTCTTTAATTGTTCTTTTAAGAAAGTTATTTAAAATAGTTTCATACATTATAAAATTATTACATGCACAGAGACGTTTTTCATAAGATCTGTAACAACCCTTCCTTATTTACTTTGAATTCTTGTCTAGATGCTATTCTCTCAAATTACAAAATATTTTCTTAATGTATGCCTTATGATATGAGACAAAAAGGTTTTACAAATTTCCAAGGCATTATGTCCACTCTGAAGCAGCATAAAAATACAAACAAAAATAATTGCCAACAAAGAGAAAACATCCCAAATGTCAAGCAGCTTGGACACCAGCGTTACCCAGGTGTTACTGCTTTCTGAGGAGGGTCAGGAAGGGTATCAGGAAGGGAAAGAGATTTGAGCTGGTCCTCCTGACACTCACAGAGGCAAAAAGAACAAACCAAGAGGAAGCATTTTAGGTGGGACAGGAACAAAGGCCAGTGAGGGAGGGCTGTCCTTTCTAATGGGCAAGCAAAACAAAGACCCTCTTCCATCACAGAGCCTGCATATTTCTCCCAGGAAGACATTGTAGCATTTGGCTAAAGGCATAGGCTTGATTGTTCAGGCTAAGACTGAGCTGGTTAGCAAAGGGTCCTTGGCGGATAAAGTCATAGGTGAATATAGAACTTTTGACCTTTTCTGCACATCACTCCCACACTTCTGCTACCTCTGGATGGCCATGTCACCATTGTGCGGCCTAGTCTTAGATGGGACTCTGGAAGGTCAGCAGATAGACCATCGCAGGCACACCCTCATGTCTAGAAAATCCATCATACCCTCTCTTTTACTGTTAGTATTAGAGATTTGAGCTTTAAGGTGTCTGCAAGTTCAGGTCATACCTACACCTTTATAAACATGAATATGGAGCATAGTTACTGCATAACTAACTAGCTAACTAGCCTGGCTACTAAGAGTCTAGGCACTTCATGGTTATAGTTTCTTTCTGTTTTTAAACTCTAAGAAATAATATTTCCAGCCCATTATTCATTCAGTTAATATGAGATCCCTGTCCATTTAGAACAGGAAACAAAAGCAATCAGAGGGATCCTTGAGTGCTTCTTTGAAAAGCTGACTGTATGATGAGTGATGCTGTTCTTTACCAACAGGAGAGGTAACATCAAAATAACCAAATGAAGAGTCCACAAGCATCACTGGATGAACAAAGCAAAAGGACAGACAGATATGGCAAACATGGATGCCTTGGTAAAGCCTCTCAAACAGTCTGCTATGTTAAATCAGCTGGAAGTGCTATTAAACAAACTAAAACAAATTCAGTGTTTCATCTATAATGAATCTCATACACAGCAGTGTCTACACTATGCAGAGGGAAAGCATATGCAGTACTTAGTCCCATTACACATGTCTTACTCTGATCACAGAGTTATCAATTTTTCTAAGGAATCTGTTTCACGTAGGTATAATTATAGTACCTTTTGGTCAATCACATAAAAGAGCAATTTCCTTTTTCCTTTCCACTGCCTTTCAGCAACTTAAAAGGCTTCTCTCTTGGACCAAAGCCTTACATCAGTGTTTTTCAAGCTGTAGTCTGTGCTAACAAATTCTCTCTATGCTGAGGGAGACAGTTTTCCAGTTATGTAATATAACTCTTTCTAGACTTGCAAAGGCAAAGCTCCACTGCTCTTGATTGTATTCAGAAGAAAAGGCTGGACCTCTCCATTGTCCTAATAATAGCAGCTTGGACACATCTGGAATCTCTGTCAGAGTAACTTCTTTTATTAGAATGAAAGTTTGCTGTCAGACAAACTGGAGTAAAGGTCGAGAAATATTCATTGCGTGATAGCCGATCAGAATCAAACACAAGCAAAAGTGGTGTGACTGCATCAAACTCTGGGCTACACTGGCAAGACCGGTGAAGCAGGCTGTCACCGTGCCTGCCTGCACAGGACTGTGCCACACCATAAATATTAAGCAAGTTATGGTAACCAAGGGCTTCTTTCTATTTGTGAACCAATGCAAAAAAAATTTTTTTTTTGGTACCAGGAATTGAACTCACAACCTTGCACTTGCCAGGCAGGTGCTTATGCCACTAAATCCCCAGCATACAAAAATGTATTTTTTAAAGTCAAAACTGTTTTCATAAAAAAAGTCTTCACTATGCAATTTTCCCCTATAATCAAGAATCATGATTGCAGCATATTGCACTCATCCATCTGAGTGCTGAGTGAAACCAATTTTAAACTTGTCTGTTAATTCTCAACATAATTAAATAGACAACTTTGACTTGTTTGTGGACTTTTGAAGACATGGCTATAAGTAAGATGTTTACAAGAAATACAGTGGCTTTGCTGCCATTAAAAGCTTTAGGATAAGATATCTGAAAATTCCAAAATGTCAAATTGAACAAATATATTTATTTCCAAAGAATTGAAAGTTTCGGAATGTGTGTATATGTGTAAAACACACATATATGTAATTTATTTTAATTATAATTAATTATATCTTTATATGATTATGAAACTATTATATTCAAGTATTTGTATCTTAACAGGTAGCAACTAGTTGCAAAGGGTCAGGCCTGGGTCTGGAATTTGTTCTCACGCTATTTGAGTACCACACTTTCAGCTTTTAAATTAAATCAGATTATTTGGGGTGCACGGGGTGGGGCGGGGAGAGAACCGATGGAGATTTGTGGGACAAAAGTCATTGTGAGCCACTCCTTTGGCACTAGGAAGAGTGAAAAATGCGGTAGGGTGAAGTTTATTTCTGGTGTCCTCCGTCTCAAGATGATTTCTCATTCAACAAAGTTTGACTTTCTCCTACCTCGCCCTCTTCAACCCTGCTTTCAGAAAGCATTTCATCTTCACTTTCGTTTTCATGTCTTGTCTAAGTTTTTCCTCTGTTAAAAGGATTTCAGGTATCAAAAAAGAAGTAGCAAGGTTTGGTTCTCTTTAGGGTGGATATTC